TTCTTACTGTTGTTGCGATTACATGAATGCCTGGAACTTAATGCATCCACGGCTGTTGTTGTAACTAACATTCTAGTCACCTAGTCCATCTGCTACATTACTTGGTTACCTTCACCCTTTGGTGGTGATTCACTGTTACTTGCACTCCTTTGTAAAAAGCTCAAATAGCTTTACTACATTATGTTTGTCTCTCTAATACTATCCATCTCTGTGAATTCTATTTTTGCATACATGTCACAAGCTGTTTGCTGCGGAAGAACTGCATTAAAATGGCTAAAGGTCTTTAAATCAAAGGGGCTGAAAATATTCAGGATCCACACTCAGGGACTATGGTCTTGGATACAGAATCCGTTCACGTTTTTAGCCTTTTAGGATATATCCAGAACCTGTAATCATGTTAAAGTAGTAACTGATAAAAAGCAAATTAGATGCAAACTAGGACTCATGTTACTTACTGTATAAGTGATTTGGCGGAACCTAAATATCTCTTGTTTTCCATTCAGAGGAGAAAAAAGAAGGCGAGAACACACCCAGGTATATATGATGCGTGCTAAGGGCGTCGTGAAGATCAAAACCCAGATTATGAACCTACAGAACTTGGCTCATTTCGTGCGAGTGGCACCTCCTGGGACTGATTTGAGGTAATAGATCACATGTTCATTTATAACACTTCCATTTGTGCTTAGTTTATTTCATTTTTTCTGGAATCCTAATCTCTGCAATATTTGTGTCACAGGTTGGCGAGAATGCTCATAAGATTTCAATTGAGAAAAGCAAATATCTAGGAGGTTGGTTATGATTCTATACTTTCTATAAGGAGATAATTTCCTTTTTGTGGCAAAACTCCCTTTGGCATGTCTATGTCTTACTTCTGTGTTGTACTGCTTTTTATGTGTATGAACAAGTGGGCATACACATTGGCAGAGCTAATCTGAATCATGACTTCTGTAAAAATGAGAGCTGTTTAACATAGTCTTATAAATTTAGTAAATTGGTAATGCTTGATGTTCTTGTTGGCACTGAGGACTCCCACCTGCATGGGTGAGCAATCAGCTCCTGACACACCTTACACCTCACACTAGGCTAGAGGTTGAAGAAAGGGGTGAGCTCAAAGCATACACACGGCAGCACAAGCACCGGCATTAGGCCGAACTCTCGCTTAAAGTGTGGCTAGCTGAACTAAGTATTCCATTGTCTTTGGATAGAATATATACAACTTCTAATTGTACCTTGCAGTACAAGGGTAGTTAGCAAGTGCTCAACCCCAACTACTCCTATCTAATCATAGTACAGCAGACATGATCTATTGCCATGTCGCTTCTGACTAGAGTTGGCAAGTATTCCATTATGCATGCGTGAGAGAGAGGGAGAAAGCGTGAGGTTATGTCTTACAATTCTTCCCCAACCAACCTGCTACTAACCCAAGACTTGACCTCATCCATGCCAATCATCCTCCTCGGCTCAAGTGAGCTGAAGGCGCCCAGTGACTTGGGTGAGGATGTCGGTGAGTTGCCAGGCCGGTTTCAGCGAACCTCGATGTGATCGCCCTCCATCAACCACGATCCACGAGGAAGTGGAACTTGATGTCGATGTGCTTGCTTGATCGTGGAGGACGGGTTCTTGGTTAGGGGCGATGGCGGGCTATTGTCCACCATCCAGTCTTTGGTGGGGTGAGCTTCCACGAGGTCATTCGCCCGGCCGGTAGAGTACAACCAAACCACAGCCTTGCGCAGCCGTGGCCGTTGCAACATACTCCGCCTCACATGTTGGCAGGCGCCACAATCTTCTGCTTATTTGCCAAGCAATTGAGCCGAGGCAGGGAAGAGCGAGCACGCACGGGAGGTGTTCACTTCCGTCCGTCGATGTCGCCCCGCCATGTCTGCGCATTCTTTGAGGCCGTGAGCTCTACAGCTCACCGCCCGATCTTGGGGGTGCCTGTTGAAGCCCGTGTGGCCATGACCGCTCCGTCGCCGTGCGTGGGGAAGATGATCGCTTGATCGGCTGACCCCTTGATGTATCGCATCGGCCTCTTCCGCCGTAAGATCGATTGGTCCTCTCGAGGATCCTCCATGAAGCCGTGACATACCCGGCCGTGACGCGATGTCCCGGTCGATGTATCGTCGAGTGCGCGACCGCCGCCGATGCTCCGATGGCGGCGTCGTGTCCACCGCCAGCCCAGCGGTCTTTGACGCTTCGATCCTTGATCCTCCTCCATGGGAGTCGGCGCTTGACTTGCAATCCGCCATGCCGCCGCGCTCTAGCTTCTCGCGTGAATCACGGCCCGGGAGATGGAGTCATTCCTTTTATCTCGATCTTGGGGTAGGTAGGAGAAGCGCCAGAAATCGCTCATTCAGCGAGCGCCGCCATCGCGCTTGGAAGCCGTCGATGTCCTTTGCTCGCGTTCAGGTGGCGATCAAATTCGTCCGCGATACTGCAGCAAGCGATGAGCTCCTCGCCCGTCGTCGGCGTGTAGAAGCGCGTCTTTCTGTTAAGCAGGTGAACCCAGCTTCGCCCATCGTGGCGTCAAACTTGGCGTTCCACGCGCGAGAACTCTGCCAGTAGCCCGTGGCGCCGCCTGCGATCGGACAACTAGTCGCTTTTGCTCCCTTGGCCAATGACTTGGAACTTAACCAGCGAAGACCGCCTCTGCCCATTTCGCCATTGAGGAAGGCCGATTTGGCGTCGGTGATGAAGCAGCGACAGGTCCTTACCATTTGCCGAGAGCGGCCAGTCAGACGAACTCCATCGCAGCGCCAAGGCGCAAAGACTTCCTCGAAGTCGATGCCTTGTGGAGCGAAGCCGCGAAGCGACGAGTGCGCCTTGTGGCAGCGATGATGGCGCGCGCTCGTCCCGCCACCTTGTATACCCACTTCATCCCGATCGGGCGACATCTGGACAGGCGGATCGGCGAGAGCTCAAGTCTCGTTCTCCTCGATTTATCTTCATCTCCTCGGCGCCTTCCCGCGCCAGTGGCGCGCCCGCCGGCGCGAGCGCGATGACGCTCGGCTCCTGCACTAATGAGAAGCGGCTGCGGATGGCGTCGGCGGTCGACTACGCGCGAACTGAGGCCCCTGCATTCTGCCGGCGATGTTGTCCAACTGCGGAACCCGCACCTTTCGCCATCGTGGAAGGCATCCACGAACTGGTGATGTCACTTGGAGGAGAGGTGAACTTCGATCGGTGGTCCCAAGCCTCCTGATTACTGCTTAGGAGTGGTCGGCACCTGCATTTCTTTATGTCGCTCGGCAACACTCCTGGAGAGATCCGGCTCCTTTCTTTGGAGCACAGCGGCACCACTCACAGGTGGTGGGATCCTTCTTCCGGAGTGTTGGCTCTGCTTCTTTGGGCCTTCGGCACCCTTGTTGGAGTGCTTCGGCACCTCCTGCTCCGGCGTCTCCACCACGTGGATGACTTGAGTGCTTTCGGCAGCCCGAAGGTCTTTGCTTGAAAGCTTGACTTCCGTGCGGACCCTCCCGGTGCGAGCCGCCTTCTCGTCCGAACCTGACGTCGCGCGAGACCACCACCTTGCCTCTGGCGGCGGGTCGAGGAAGATACGTCATGTGGTGCCCTCCTCGTAGCCCGTGAGTACTATCGGCGTGCTCCTATCTTCCGGCTTGGTGAGGAGGCAACCGTCTTCTTGACATGGCCGATGCAAGCAAGCGTCCACGAGGAAGGACCGTCCGGCTTCGCCCGTAACATGCTTGACGAGTCACGCCTTCAGGGCCTTCATGGTAGTATGGTTGAGATGATGACACATGCCGTGGTCACCGCCTCGCCCAATCTGTCGGGCGTGCTCTTGGCCTTCATCATGGATTGAGCCATGCCGACCACCGTCTGGTTCCGCCCGTTCCACCACGCCATTCTGCTGCGGCGAAATCGGGCGGGCGCGTGGTGTGGCATCACCTGATCCACACGATGCATAGCGAACTCCACCGAAATGAATTACGCGCGCGATCGCATCTCGTACGCGCTTTCGGCTTCTTCTCGGACTCTCGCCTCCGCCCGCTCCTGGAACCTTTTTGATCGCGTCCGTCGCTACGTCGTTGCTTTCGTCGAGTTGCGGCCACATGTAGCGACTACAATCATCCGCCAGGCGAAAGAAATACCTCCACCCGCCGTGCGTGGCTTCGGCGTGATTGGCCCGCGAGGGTCACCATGGGCGAGCTTCGAGGCGTCCGCCGCTTTACTTGGCGCCTTTGGGAGCGGGCTGCCTTTTACGCTTCACGGCTGGCGGCTATCACCACACTTCGCTGCGTGCTGCGATGTGGGCAGCCCTCGGACCATCTTCTCCCGGTAGACCAAGCGCGTCGGCCGAGATGGCCTAACCGGTATGCCGACCCACGACTCCTCGGTGTGCCGCGCCCGCCCGAGCCTACCGTTGCTCCACCTTCAAATCGGCGAGTCTGATCGATTACGGGGAAGCGTTTACCTTGGCGAAAGCCCGCTCCCGATCGCGAATCCTCAAGATCCCGTCTCTCGATCGGCACCTCGCGCTGCCGCAGCTTTCGTCCAGTACCCGATCTTTGAGCGTAGCTACGGGATGTAGTACACATCCATCGGTACCACGGTGCTAAATGCGTTACGACACCGAAGATGGCGGTGCCACGGCCTCGAATCTCCACCTTGGCCGTCCCGAACTTCAAACCACATCACGCGGCCCGTCGAGCTTCGGAGAAAGCGCCTTGGAGCCGGTTATGTAGTTGTCATGGCTTTGGCGGAGTCCAGTACCACCTGCTGCTCCACCTCGTCGCCCACTCGTCAAGAGATGGACTTGTGCGTCGCGGCTTCGTCGAGTCGATGCTTTCTGCGATGCCTTCCGTGCCCTCGCGTGCCGCCACCTCCTACTGCCTCGGCGTGCGGCGGCCGCACGAGCGTCGCCATCAGGAGAGTTGACTCGTCGTCGTCCACATGAGCTAGGTGAGCCTCAGCCTTCTTCTCCTATTCGGGTTCGGGCATTCCTTGGCCCAGTGGCGATCTTCCGCATGATGGCGGCAAGTGTCCCGACCACAGGCTTGCCGCCTTCTTCTTCTAACTGCGCTGCGGGGCCTTGCAGCGGCGCTTCCCATTGCTTGCCAGGCTGGAGGAGCCTTCCTCGACCGCTTCTCCCATCTGGGCCGCCCACTCCTCCTCGGTCATCAGCAGCTTGCCACCGGCCGATGTCGCAGTCGCCCCTATGCGGTTATCCACCGCCCGCAGACGCCCTGTCAAATCCTCAATCGTGAGGGTTGACATGTCCAGCATCGTCTCGATGGAGAGAGCGATTTGGGTGTATTTAGGCGGCACGACGCGCAGTCACCAGGTGCGTGGTGCGAGTGGTGAAGCTATCTCACTTGAGTCACCGGTCGTGGGTTCAAAGCATACTCTCCGCATGATTTTGCGGGGAAGGCTTGTCCCGGTTTATCCTTCCCAAACCCCACTCATGTGGGAGCCTCTCCGCAGTGCAGGTGCACGCCCTTTTTGGGCGACCGCGACCACGTAGATTTATTCTGACTGCGAGGGGTAATAGTGGGAGGTTCTTGGCGTGGCTTGAATCCTCGGCGGTGAGCAGTGGCGGCAGGGGTAGCGCCTTGCGGACTCTGGCGACAAGGAGGAGGCGGTGAAACGATTACTCTCAATTTGGGCACCCAAGGAGACGGTGAGTCTCTATCCTGGATTAACTCTTCATTAATCAAATGGTTTGCCTTATAAGCGGATTACAAGCATGCCACTAATTTAGGGATAACAAACTAAACATGCATAACAAATCAAACATACAACTAACGAGACTTGCAACAAACTCCATACAAAG